GCATCACTACGAAAAAAGCTAGTGGAGGTGTTGGAATTCCAGTTGAGCTATTTCAAATCCTAAAAGATGATGCTGTGAAAGTGCTGCACTCAATATGCCAGCAAATTTGGAAAACTCAACAGTGGCCACAGGACTGGAAAAGGTCAGTTTTCACTCCAGTCTCAAAGAAAGGCAATGCCAAAGAATGCTCAAACTAGTGCACAGTTGCACTCAATTCACACGCTTGCAAAGTAATGCTCAAACTTCTCCAAACTAGCCTTCAACAGTACATGAACCATGAACTTCCAGCTGTTCAAGCTGGATTTAGAAAAGGCAGAGGAACCAGAGAACACATTGCCAATATCCGTTGGATCATTGAGAAAGTGAGAGAGTTCCAGAAAAATATCTACTTCTGCTTTATTGAGGATGCCAATGCCTTTGACTGTGTGGATCACAACAAACTGTGGAACAGTCTGAAAGAGATGGGAATGCCAGGCCACCTGACCTGCTTCTTGAGAAATCTGTATGCAGGTCAGGAAGCAACAGTTAAAACTGCAAATGCAAAAACAGGCTCGTTCCAAATCAGGAAAGTAGTGCATGAAGTCTGTATATTGTCATCATGCTTATTTAACTTATATGCAGAGTACATCATGAGGAACACTGGGCTGGATGAAGCACAAGCTGGAATCAAGATTGCCTGAAGAAATATCAATAACTTCAGATATGCAGATGACATGACCCTTATGGCAGAAAGCAAAGAAGAATTAAAGAGCCTCTTGATGATAGTGAAAGAGAAGAGTGAAAAAGTTGGCTTAAAACTCAAAATTCAGAAGACTAATATCATGGCATCTGGTCCCATCACTTCACAGCAAATAGATGGGAAAGCAATGGAAACAGTGACGGACTTTATTTTGGGGGGCTCCAAAATCATTGAAGTTGGTGACTTCAGCCATGAAATTAAAAGACACTTGCTCCTAGATAGAAAAGTTATGACCAACGTAGACAGCATGTTAAAAAGCAGAGATATTACTTTCCCAACAAAGTTCTGTCTAGTCAAAGCTATGGCTTTTCCAGTAGTCATGTATATGAGAGTTGGACTATAAAGAAAGCTGAACATCGAAGAATTGATGCTTTTTTTTTTTAATTGATGCTTTTGAACTGTGGTGTTGGAGAAGACTCTGGAGAGTCCCTGGGACTTCAAGGAGATCCAACCGGTCCATCTGAAAGGAAATCAGTCCTGAATATTTGTTGGAAGGTCTGATGCTGAAGCTGAAACTCCAATACTTTGGCCACCTGATGCGGAGAACTGACTCATCTGAAAAGACCCTGATGCTGGGAAAAATTGAAGGCAGGAGGAGAAGGGGACGACAGAGGATGAGATGGTAGATGGCATCACCCACTCAATGGCCATGAGTTTGAGTAAGCTCCAGGAGTTGGTAATGGACAGGGAGGCTGGGTGTGCTGCAGTCCATGGGATCGCAAAGATTTGGACACAAATGAATGACTTAACTGAACTGTACTGACCCTCTTTTAGCATGTCTTACTTATTTATTTACTTATTTTATTGAAGTACAGTTGATCTACAACGTCATGTAAGTTTCAGATGTACAGCACTGTGATTCAGTTACATATATTCTTTTTTATTGGAGTATAGTTCCTTTACACTGCTGCATCAGTTTCTGCTGTACAGCAAAGTGAATCTGCCAAATGTTTACACATATCCCCTCTTTGTTAAAATGTCCTTCCTAGTTAGGTTACCACAGAGCAATGAGTGGAGTTCCCTGTGCTATACAGCAGATTTTCATTAGTTATCTGTTTTACACATAGCATTGTATGTACGTCAATCCCAGTCTCCCAATTCACCCTACTTCCCTTTTCCTCCTCCCATACATTTGTTCTATAAGTTAGTGTCTTTATTTCTGTTCTGCAAAGAGATCAACTATACCATATTTCTGGATTCTGTGTATATGCATTAATATATGATATTTGTTTTTCCTTTTTGGCTTATTCTCCTCAACTTCAGATTCCGGCCAGAGTTACTGGTCCCTTTTTGATTCCTCTTTTCTTTTTTCACTTCTTTCAATCTATCCATTTGCAAAGACAGTTTTCTTTTCTTTTAGTTGTCCACAGTCTTCCACTAGTGTTTAGCAGGTGCTCTGTGAGAACTTTTACATTTGTATATGTATTCCTGATGTACTTGTGAAGAGACATGAATTCTGCATCCTTTTATTCCACCATCTTGACTCTTCTCTCTCTCTCTCTATATATATATATATATATATATATATATATGTTGATACACATATACATACACCTCTATTAGATTCTTTTCCCTTATAGGTTATTAAAAAGACTGAGTGCACTTTCTTGTGTTATACAGTAGGTATATTGGCTATTTATTTTAATTAAAGGATAATTACAACATCGTGATTTTTTGGCCATACATCAACACATATATCTATTTTATATATAGTAATGTGTATGTGTTCTGGTATTCCCATCTCTTTCAGAATTTTCCAGTTTATTGTGATCCACACAGTCAAAGGCTTTGGAGTAGTCAATAAAGCAGAAATAGATATTTTTCTGGAACTCTCTTGCTTTTTTGATGATCCAGCAGATATTGGCAATTTGATCTCTGGTTCCTCTGCCTTTTCTAAAACCACCTCATGCGAAGAGTTGACTCATTGGAAAAGACCCTGATGCTGGGAGGAATTGGGGGCAGGAGGAGAAGGGGACGACAGAGGATGAGATGGCTGGATGGCATCACCGACTCGATCGGCATGAGTTTGAGTAAACTCCGGGAGTTGGTGATGGACAGGGAGGCCTGGCGTGCTGCGATTAATGGGATCGCAAAGAGTTGGACACGACTGAGCGACTGAACTGAACTGAACTGAATGTGTATGTGTTAATTCCAACTTCCTAATTTATCCCTCCCCCACTTTCCCTTTTGGTTATCATAGGTTTGTTTTCTATGTCTGTGGGTCTATTTCTGTTTTGTAATTATGTTCCTTTGCATCTGTTTCTTTTTTGAGATTTTTACATATAAGCAAATTTCATATGACATTTGTTTTTCCCTGTCTGGCTTACTTCACTTAGTATGCTATCTTTTAATATTTCTTTTGAACCAAGTCTATTGGTGATCAATTCCTTCAAGTTTGTTTGTCTGGAAAAGTTTTCTCTCTCCTCATTTCTGAAGGATTACTTTGTCTAATATGGTATTCCTGATTGGAAGTTATTTCCTTTTAGTACCTTGAAGATATCATCCCACTTTCTTCTGGACTGCAAGGTTTTAGATGAGGAAACTGCTCATAGTATTATCGGAGTTTCCTTTTATTTGATTATTTGCTTTTCTCGTGGTATGTTCAAAATTCTCTTTGTCTTGGAATTTTGAGAATTTTATAAAAATGTGTCTTGGCTAAAATCTCTTTATGTTTAGGTTATTTGCATTTCTTTGGGCTTCAAGGATCCAGGTTTTCATTTCCTCCTCCAGATTAAGGAATTTTTTTGTCATTATTTCTTTAAATAAGATTTGTGCCCCTTTTACTTTCTGTGCTCCTTCTGTGACTCCCTCCCATATGTGTATATTGGTTTGTGTATGGTGTCCCAGAAATTCTTTTTGGTTCTTTTTTATGATTTCTTCACTTTCTTGAACTTCTCATGCATCATTTTCCTGATTTTGTTTAGTTGTCTGAGTTCTCTTGTAGCTCACTGGGCTTCTTTAAATGGTTATTTGGAATTCCTTTTCAGACAGTTCATAGATATCCATTTCATTAGGACCAGTTCATGGTGCCTTATTTTGTTCTTTTGGTGGTGTCATGTTTCCCTGATTAATCCTCAGCCTAGTGGCCTTTAGTTGGTGTTTTCCTATTTGAAGAACTAGGCACATCTTCCCATCTTTATAGATTGGCTTTGGCGAGGAAAGCCTCTTATCCATCAGCACAACCATAGATTATGTGTAGGACACCTGGCAGGCTCCACAGGTGAGCTTGCTGCTGGAGTCCTTGAGTAGGCTGATCTGGTGCCTGGGTCAGTGAATGGGCAAGCTTTCAGCCTGGATCTGCAGGGGATCAGCCTGGATCTTGAAGCCTAGGCCCAGGGGGCTAGCCTGGCACTGAGAGAGACCTGGAGGCTTGGTTCACAGAAGACTGGACTGGAAGCTGAGCTGTGGTTACATCTTGGTGATTAGAGACACAGGGCCAGCTTGGCATTGTTGGCCCTGGATTCTGGGTCTTTAGGGGCAGGCTTAGAGCCTGAGACTGCACAGAATGGCCTAGTACTGGAGCAGGTCTAGAGCCTAGCTTGGTAGAGGCTGGCCTGGAGTCTGGAAAAATGGGGGATGAGTTGGTGCTTGGGTTTACTGGGGTGGGCCTAGTGCTGCAGTCCAAGGTAAAGTTGATTGCTCCCCTCACTCTTCTTTCTCCACGTGGAGGGGACCTCTCCCTGGACTACATAGTGTGAGCTTTGGGGAAGGATGACATGGGTAATATGAAAGTGTCCTTTCTAGCATCTGCAATGCACTTTTTTCTTATTTCTGTACTCCACCCAGGTATTCTTATCTCTCATATGGATTCCATAGCTCTCATTGAAGGACTTTTCTTGCACAGATAGTTGTTTGAATTCATTCATGTTACTGTGAAGGGACAAGCACTAGAAACTCCTATTAAGCCATCAGTCCCCTGTGTTAGCAGAATTTTATTTAAAATCTCAGAATATTCAGAAAACACATTGCTCACCTATGTCAATGTATTGAGGTATAGATTTAAGAACACCTTGTATCTCCCACTGACCTGCTAAGGGAAAATGATTTTACAGATTCATCTGTAAATTGATTAGGATGGGTTCATCAAGAGACTAATTCACTCTTTGGGCACAAATTTTACAAACCTTGCCTTGCCTGGCTCAGGACCCAGAAAGAGTCTATCTTTACATGGAAAAATTATTATGCATCCACTTCTGCTTTTCAATATACTTTTTATCTCCAGTCACAATTAAGATGATAAGGGTAAAACTTTAGTACTGACCTTCACTTTCATCCAGGGAAGAAGTATAGACAACTGTCCTTTCCCTCAGCAAGCGCTTTGAAATTGTAATTGGTTTGTGTCTTCTTGCTGTTACTCGAGGTGGAGGCACTGGGGGTGCAGTACTTTCCTCAGGTGGACCTGAATAGATCTGTAGAAGGGGAGTATTTCCAGAAAACAATTAGATCAACTTTTTGTATTCCTAATGTTAACTACTAGTTGATGCCCATCAGCATTACATCTAGTGTCTGCCAGAGAAATTCTAATATTACTAAAGGAATTAGGGATATTTTTCCTAAACACTCTAACCACCAGCAAGTAGAGATTTCCCACCATGTTTGAGTGCAGGACCTGGGATTTCTCAGTGCAGAGAAAAGAATGCAAACAAAAATGGCAACATCAGGAGTGTACTCTTCTATATGCTAGATGGGATTGCTGTGTGACACATATTCACTGACCAAAACCAATTAAATTATTATTTTAAAAAATTGTGCAACACCAGTCCTGAATTTTCCACTTACTGCCTGGGAAACTGTAAAAAAGCTTTTCCCAACAAAAACTATAAAAAAAAGGTTTCGAAGCAAAACTCATTAAATATTCACCTCCCATCTCTGAGCCTTAGCTTCTTCATCTGTAAATTGCAGGGAGCACAACCTATCACAGGATGTGGTGAGAACCAAGTGGGAAGTTAGTTAAAGGACATTGTATGGGTAGAGGTGGGGTGTGAAGAATGATTAAAAACACCCACATGCATTCAATATTTCTGAAAAGATACCAAGAAACTTATTACATTGTTTGCACAAGACAGGAATAATGAGTGGCTCAGGGAAGGATGGAGGAAACTTATTTTTCACTTCTATATCATTTTGATTAAAAAAATTTTCAAGCCATGTATGCATTACTTATTCAAAAGAGAAAGGACAAAAACAAAGTTCTTTGGAAGTTGTGATAATTGCTGGATAAGTGAGGGAGGAGCTGTGATTAGAATTTGTATATAGTGTCTCATATGTACTTAAGGATCTTCCTATCCCTGGGGAGAATGACCTTTTGGCCAGAGTGAACACAGTTTGGAAAGACACACATATGTGATGATGGAGGAAGGGAACTGGTTCCATTGCAATAATGAAATCAATCCCAATGATTTGTGCAAAATAATGTCATAGCCCAACATTCTATCAGGCAAGAATCAACACAGTTTGCATAGACACAGAACTTACATGATTGGGAACACAAGGCAAGCCTGTGTGAAAGCTGCACAATGATAGAGAACAAAGTAATAAGAATCATAAGGCAGTACATGTTTCAGTATCTCATGGAATAGGGAAAAAAGAATATGACATAGTAGCAAGCAGATGAGCTTTGAGGCCATATACTTTTAGGTCATATTTCTGGTGTCATCATTAGTAATAATATTCTAAATAGCTACCATTTTGTGAGCATCTTAAGCAGATGTAGTAGTTGTTACAAATATTCCTTGTTATTTATTTTTTTTCCATTTATTTTTATTAGTTGGAGGCTAATTACTTTACAATATTGTAGTGGTTTTTGCCATACATTGACATGAATCAGCCATGGATTTACATGTATTCCCCATCCCGATCCCCCCTCCCACCTCCCTCCCCACCCCATCCCTCTGGGTCTTCCCAGTGCACCAGGCCTAAGCACTTGTCTCATGCATCCAACCTGGGTTGGTGATCTGTTTCACCCTTGACAATATACATGTTTCAATACTGTTCTCTTAAAACATCCCACCTTCGCCTTCTCCCACAGAGTCCAAACACCTGTTCTGTACATCTGTGTCTGTCTTTCTGTTTTGCATATAGGGTTATCATTACCATCTTTCTAAATTCCATATATATGCGTTAGTATACTGTATTGGTTTTTGTCTTTCTGGCTTACTTCACTTTGTATAATGGGCTCCAGTTCCATCCATCTCATTAGAACTGATTCAAATGAATTCTTTTTAATGGCTGAGTAATATTCCATGGTGTATATGTACTACAGTTTCCTTATCCATTTGTCTGCTGATGGGCATCTAGGTTGCTTCCATGTCCTGGTTATTATAAATAGTGCTGCAATGAACACTGAGGTGCACGTCTCTCTTTCAGATCTGGTTTCCTCGGTGTGTATGCCCAGAAGTGGGATTGCTGGTCATATGGCAGTTCTATTTCCAGTTTTTTAAAGAAATCTCCACACTGTTTTCCATAGCAGCTGTACTAGTTTGCATTCCCACCAACAGTGTAAGACATACAAATGGCTAACAAATACATGAAAAGATGTTCCTTGTTATTTATCAAATGCGCCAGGGACTTTGCACTGAATGTTTCATCTACCTGGAGTGAGCTTCTTCCAGGTAACCATATCCATAGCTCGTGCTCTTGATTTCAGTAGGATTAATGATCAAATACACTCCTCTCAGTGAGTCTTTGCAGATAATTGTATCAAAATTTTGACATGCTTCCCTCTGCTGTGCTTCCTATCCCCCATCTCTATTTAACTTATTTTCTTATCACTTTCTAACACTGCTATTGTTATTGTTCAGTTGCTAAGTCATGTCCGCCTCTTTGCAACCCCATCGACTGCAGCACGCCAGGCTTTCCTGTCCTCCACTATCTCCCGGAGTTTGCTCAAGTTCATGTGCATTGAGTTGGTGATGTTATCTAACCATCTCATCATCTGCCTCCCTCTTCTCCTTTCACCGTCAATCTTTTCCAGCATCAGGGTCTTTTAACATCATATATTGTACTTATTTAGCTTTTGGTTATCTGTCTCTCTACTTGATTGTATACTAGACTAAAGTATATCATCATATTCACTGTTATATCTCCAGCAGTTAGAAGTGACTAGAATTGCTGGGCCAAAAAACTAACAAATTTAAAATTCTGATATAAAAGGCCAAATTGTCCTCTGAAAATAACATGGCAGCCACTTTCCCTTCCAGCCAAAATAGGGTAAAAGGGCCTAGATTTATATCATCAGCATGGAACAATTAAAAAGCTAGAAAAAATGTAATAATGAATCTGATCATTATTAGGGCATTTGAAATCTGGCAATGAAGGACAGTGATCCATGAAAGAGGAAAAATAAATGAAGTGAACTCCATGATTTTTCCAGCATAAAGCCTGGAAAGATTCTTCTGGCCATACTCCAGGACAAGGAACCCAGAAGAGCTCAACAGTCTCCATAAGCTGAAGAGACTGAGTTGTAAGTATGAGAAGAGCAAGGAAGTGAGAGTTTTCAGGGCAGAGTACCAGACAGAAGATCTGCACAGAGAACTCTGGAGATCTTCAGGCGTCCTCTTTAAGAATTTAGCTGCATACTGATCAATACATATGTGTAAGGCAAGAACCACAGGACAAAATTAGAGGGAAACACAGTGGCTGGAAGAGTTCCTGTTCTCACCAGCCACAGTGAACTATTAAATAATTCACAGAGCACTGAATAGAGTACACAGACAAGTTTTGCCTCATTCACGAAGAAAAATTAACATGACTAAATACTATTTCTGCTTAAGTTTAAAAGAAATACTTGTAAATATCAAGCTGTATTTGGGTAACAACTGCACCCCAGAAAAAGCTCAAGAATATTACCTATAGTAATTAAAAAATAGCCAGAATTCAAGAAGGTAAAATTAATGTCTTATGTCTGATAAAAAATTATTGGGGTCACAAAGAGTTGGACATGACTGAGAGACTGAAATGAACTGATGATGTTAGCCGTGGGCTTTTCCTATATGGTCTTAGTAATGTTGAGGTCTGTTCTTTCCATAACAAATTTGTTGAGTATTTATCATGAAAGGATATTGAATTTTGGCAAATGTATTTTATGTATCTATTGAGATTTTTTTTCATTCTATTAATGTGGTATATCACATTTATTGATTTGCATATGTTGAAGCATCCTTGCATCCCAGGGATGAATTCCAATTGATAATAGTCTATGAATCTTTTAAAGTGTTGCTCAATTAAGTATGCTAGTACTTTGTAGAGAATTTATGCTTTCTGTATTCATCAGGTATGTTGGCCTGTAGCCTATAGCTTTCTTTTCCTCCTTCCTCTTTCTCCATCCTCCTCTTCCTTCTGCTTTTTTAATAGAGTCCTAAACTGGCTTTGGCATCATGGTAATGTTGGCCTCATAAAATGAGTTTGGGAGTGTTCTCTCTCTTTCAACATTATTAATTGAGAATAATTGACATCAATTCTTCCTTTAATGTTTGGTAGAATTCACCAATGAAACAATCTGGACCTGAGCTTTTCTTCTTTGGGAGATTTCTGAATACTGATTCGACCTCCTCACTCACTGTTTGTTCAGATTTTCTATTTCTTCATGATTCAGTTTCACTAGTATGTATTTCTAGGAACTTACCATTTTTCTAGGTTATCCAATTTGTTGGCATATGTTTATTTATAGTAGTCTCTTATTATCCTTTTTATTCTGTAGTGTATCCTTGTTTATTTCTGGTTTTATTTATTCAGGTCTTATTTCTTTATTTCTTAGTCTAGTGAAAGGTTTTCAGTTTTATTTATCTTTTTAAAAACTCAACGTAATTTCATTTATCTTTTCTATTGGTTTCCTGTTCTCTACTTCATTGATTTCTTTCTTTTTTTTCTCTGATCTTTGTTATTTCCTTCCTTCTGCAAACTTTGGGCTGAGTTTGTTCTTTTACCAATTGTTTGAGATGTTAAGTTAGGTTATTTGTGATCTTTCTTTTGTCTTAATGTAATGTAGTGTAAATGTAGTGTAAGGTAATGTAATGTAAATGTAGTGTAATGTAAATATAGTGTTTTATTTGTGTAAAAGTCCCCTCTTAGAATTGCCTGTTCTCCATTTCAGAAGTTTTGATTGGTTGTTTTTCTATTGTCATGTATTTCAAGATATTTTTTGATTTCTTGCTTTCTCTCTTTTGATTTCTTGCTTGACCCTTTGGTTGTTCAAAAGTGCATTGTCTACCACATATTTGAATTTTTTTTTCTTCCAGTTATTGATTTCTAGTTTCATACAGTTGTGACCAGAAAGTACTTGATAAAATTTCAATCTTCATACATTTGCTTATTTTATGACCTGATGTTATCTATCCTAGAGAAAGTTCCATATCCACTTGAGAAGAATGAGTATTCTGTTGTTGGTGGGTAAAATGTTCTGTATATGTCA